CTTTTTTGAATTAGCTATATATATATATATATATATATATATATATATATATATATATATATATATATATATATATATATATATATATATATATATATATATATATATATATATATATATATATATACTATTTAAAACACGAGTAGGAGTATTTTATCAGATATAAAACGCGAGGCGCAGCCGAGCGTTTTATATCTGATAAAACACGACAACGAGTGTTTTGAATAGCTTAAAATACGACTACAAAAGAATACTAATTAGGATGAACCCTTATATAATCATGCTAATTAGGATGAAGAATTATATAATGCCACATGTGTTTTATCAGATATAAAGTCACTCCACGTGACATATTATGGCTGACATGATTTGCCACAAGGTTTATGAATTATTAATGAGTATTTTAATATATATATATATATATATATATATATATATATATATATATATATATATATATATATATATATGTATTTTTATATATATATATATATATATATATATATATATATATATATATATATATATATATATATATAATCTTCAAAAGAAGCTTATGAGTTATGTAATATGTTCTATGTTCAACGATTTTCCATTACCGAGTGATTATTTCTTCATCGTAAACCGCCACGAAAATTGAGATATATCCGAAAACCGGCATCTCAAAATCGCCGAAACTGCCATGAACTGTATGGAATATACCCCCCTTTCACTTCACCCGGCCTGCGCAGAGTTAAACTTTTCTCCAGATTTGGCCAGCCTGTTTCTCCTCCCCCAGTTTCGCCAAAGGTTTTGACCTAAATCTAGTTGTCTTGTCTTGTTCCACTGTTTGGAACAATGTTCCAAATGTTAGTATATATAAGTAATCCGTGTATAGTTTCAATTGAAATATGTGTAAGAACCGAGTTGCAAATTACACATTCCTAAATATTACATTACACTTCTTGAAACATGTATACAGGACTCTACAAAACTGAATAAATATTTTGCGCATTGCGTATTATCCGTGCCAAGTTCATTAACCATCGGAAGTGCTGCATTTGAACCAAATGAGCGATTTAAACGACCAACAACCTAATACTATTTATATCTAATTCACACATCGACTCTGAATAAACCTGGCTTGTAAACTAAACTCATGTAAACTAAATGATTCGATGCATCGCTTACCTTTTGTAGTTGATATGTTGATGAAATATCTATCGTTCTTACCAAGATGAACTCTGCTTGAAATGACAAAACGTATTTTCAGGTAAGTTATTGATATATAAAGACCTACAGTTGCTGATGGTCGTCACGTGACAGGAGATACGTTCTGTCGATCATGTGATTGATGGGTAATCTAGATTCCTTTGTCTGGCCACCCATTTGAGTTGTAAACCAATATATGCATTAAGAGGTAAACGGACACAAGGATAAAGACCTTTTAAACAAAATAATTTAATCGTTGCCTCTACACGCCCTCCTCGTGCCTCTACATGTCCTCT